CTTCTACATGGCTTTACCTTGCTACTGATATGTGTATACATTCACTTCAATCGTTATTTACTTCTTAAAATATTGTTTTTCAGAAACCCCGCTTCATTAACTTTAGTAAATTACGTTGGCCATTTACAATATCTTCCAAGAGGACTAATATTTTGCGAAAATTATGCTTTTAAAATAAAGAGGAGGTATTCTAACTTTGATTTACATGATCAAACCCTAGTCTAGCTTTGATTTACATGATAAAACCCTATCAGTAGTCCTTTCGTTTCAGTTTTAGTTTTAGTCCTTAGTTTTTTTGTTGTTGTTTTTTGTATATATTTTTTCTTTATGCTGTATTTCAATGTTTTGTACTGTACGTATCACTGTATCACTCAGAAATTTTGGGGATCGTGGGTATATATTTGCTATAGTTTATAGTATAGTATGTACAATGTTATGTTGGACCACAATGGAAATAAGTGTGTTAGCCACGCTTTTTTGTGTTTTCATCCACGATAATTTTCTAGCTGCATTTTGTTTATTTATGCTGTTATCGATGGAATGTATGCTTTGGTAATTATCGAAATAAATCAATCAATCAATCAATTTCTTGAGAAATAGGAAGAAGTCCTTGCATGTACGTACCAGTTTTATCTTACGCTTCCGACAGATGGCAGCACAAGTGTATACATCATGGCGCCGAAAACGAAGTTTGAAATAGGTTAGTGTTTACACATTGCAATAACAACGTTGTGGTACCCGGTATCTCGACCTACACCGTACTATGACAGCTAGTATATGAACTGTTATTAGAGAGAACAAATTATGCCGCTGACACTGTTTGCTGTTAGTTATTCTAAATCATGTTCGAGTGCTTGAAAGTTGTGCTTTCCATACAAACTCATCAACATTAAGATAAGATAAGATAAGATAACAGTTTATTTATCGCTTATCGCTTACAACATAGAACAAAAATTAACAAGGTAAATAAGAAAACCATACAGCGAAAGGATGGCGAAAAGACCATAGAACATTAGTCATTAGTACTACTAGTACTACTGCTCATAGGGTCTATGTCCCCCAGGATACTGCCGGAACGTACCGAACCCACCTGTAGTGCGTAAACCAACCACTTTGTAAGATGTAATGTGTTCACACCACAGCACACACCATGCCAGGTGGTGTGGCTCCAGCATTGTATCAGTTGTTTGGCATGGGTCGCTGAAATATTAACGTGCACAACATCTGCATATTAAAGAAATATCACATATGAAAGTGCTACACTCAGTAAATGGTACTGGGTTTACCAGATATTGTAGACCTAGTTCTCCCAACGTCATTGCTTACACATAGGGATTCTTGCATGCATGCACACACACACACACACACACACACACACACACACACACACACACACACGTGGACACAGTCATGCATACACTTGTGTACGCACACATACAAAACAGTTTCGATAAAAGTTAATCAAGTACACTATTGTGAATGTTTATTATCAGTCACAGTATCATGTATAAATATATTCGTGTTATCTACCAGAATATTGTTAGTATACTGTTAATACTGTGTAGTGTCTACCCAGGTACCCTGTTTAATCTTATAATTACGTTTGTGTGGTTGTGTTCCAGGAGAAAAGCTGCTGTGTTACCATGGTCCTATATTATATGAAGCCAAGGTGACTGATTCAATAAATTCTCATAATTTACTGCTCTGACTATTAACGTTTTTATTATTTCATAGTAACCCAAGCTTCTGTGGCAATGCAATATTTGTTTATTTGTCAATTTTTTTGGAAGGAAAATCACACTTGTGTAATTGTTCATTAGGTGGAGTGCTAGGCATTTTATAAATGTGGTTTCAACATTTATCTGCCTTTCAAGTGAAACACTAAATGACTATTATAAACAAGTGTGTTCTATAGAGGTATCTGCTCCTGTATTACTGCTTGTGTTCGCACTGTTTTTATTTAGTTTTCCCTCATTTTAGTGCGTGAAAACACAAATCAAAGACAAGGTTGTGAAATATTTGGTTCACTACAGTGGTTGGAACAAAAAGTAAGTAATGATAGATACTAACTTGTTATATTTTTCAGGCACCCTAAATTATATGTTTGAGAAATAAGTACATTACTCTTACAAGTAATTGTATATCTGTGTGAAATGTCATCATGTAGATTTGCAATGAAGTGACCAATACATGATGCTGATATGCTTCTTAAAATTCAAATGCAGAAGTGTGATGTTGCCAACTTAATAAACCAGACCATAACTAACATTTTCCCTATAAATCTAGGATTTCAACTCGTGTGTTTTCAGGTGGTTGTCATGTTTCATAAACTTGTTCCACACAATATGTACAATGCGATATGGTAACAAAAATAAGATTATAAGATATAGATGAAAATATTTTCTAATGGTTTGAGTATGCATGCACTCATGCCTTTCACTCATATGTGATTATACCTGTTTCTAATGTGTTATTTTTTACTATGGAACAGCTGGGATGAGTGGGTAGCAGAAAATCTGGTCCTGAAAATCAATGATGCTAATCTCCAGAAGCAGAAAGAGCTGGAGAAGGAATACTCTGGCATTGCTGCGTGAGTAGTTGCAGTTTTCATTAAGACTTGCTTGCATTTGCATCTGTACACACATAAATTATGGATCAGGCATTGAGAACGCATCAGCCACTGGCATGTACCCAATGAAATTAGTTGGATCTTAGCTTAAAACTCTGTTTGACCCACTCCATACACTGCCATACTGTCATTGAAATCAACATGGCAGGATTTCATTATTGTGTAATCAAATTAATGTAGAATCGTGTAATTAATTCAGTATCATGCCATTGCAGAAAGATGCGAAAGCGGACAGCAGGGGCTAAGAAGAAGGAGGATGTCAAAGAAAAGCCAGAGTCACGTTCAGGCACGCCATCTATTGAGAAACCGAAGGTTAAAGGTATTACCAGTTAATGTTCATGCCTAGATGTCTGTGTACGTGGCTGCGTACACTTACGTGCAACAATTCTGAGCTCAAATTTCACTATGGTATTGGCAGCATGTGTCATGGTTACCCTCTTATAGTTGCCATGATGCCCTTAAAAATTTGCCGATATTCACAGATGAGAGTAAATCGCCATGGCTGCCCTACCTGGTTTGTCTCTGTACCCTTCTCATGAAATCTATATAGCATATATGTATCATTATTTGTCTCGTGTAAAATGTAGGTGCCATTATTAATCCTTAATTAAAAGAACCGTTTGTTTTAATCCCCTTCTAATTTTCCTGTGATGGCCTCAAATCTAATTAAGCCAAAGGTAACAGTTGTCTTTCCCTAAAAATGCAACCCCTGTTAATATTCATGCTAAAATCTTTGTATCACGATATGCGACATAATACATATCAGGGGTGAATAATGACAAATTCACCAATGATACATGGACAGGTTGCAGTAACATATTTGAAGAAAATTCACCGTGTAAATGAGGATATTGGTTTTGCTGTGGATTCCGTATCTTTCTTGTGTCCCAGACTATGGTTATGAGTACTACTGGTGTAGCAGTTATTGTTTGCTATAGTTGTCCCTAGGATGAGGATATTGTACAGTGCATTCGAAATTATTTCTCCTACTCTTGTTAAATTTTTATTGATGACAACAAGCTGGTGTATGCGTGTTATTTCAGAAGAGAAGAGCACACCATCGGTATCAAGATCAGAAACGCCAGTCCTTGAACCACCAGCTAAGAAGAAACGTGCGAGACTTGATCCTTACACTGAGCCCGTAGGTGTCGATGGCCTTTTGTGTTTGTGCGCATGTGTGCACATAATATAGTATGTTTCAGTTAACTTGAATCTGGAGTGAAATACTACCAATTTAATGCTCTGAATTTGTGATTTCGATCAGCAAGTTTCGTGTATTGCGAGCCTTGTAATATTACTGCCAAGTATGAAATCGGAAGTGTCCATCAGTGCCGAGTCATCCCCGTGTTATTCTGATCATGTGATTCCGTTTAAAGGAAGATATATTTACAACAAAGACCGAGATTCAAATAAAGATCCCTCAAGAGTTGAGAACGTGGTTGGTTGACGACTGGGACATTGTGACTCGTCAAAACAAGGTATTAACAGGGTGCGAAATTAACAGGAGTCCGGAGTCAAATACTCCCTGATTTACTGTCGGACTCCCTGATTTGACATATGCAGGAGTCCGTGTGACTCCCTGAAAATTCTGTCATACTACCTAGTTCGTTCCAGAGCACGGCCTCACGGAATTACCATATTTTTTCAGCTAATGTCCAAAGAAAATTTTCCAGACGTGCAACCGCATGAATCTTCAAAATAAGCACATGCGTTATTGTTAATATCTTTAATTTTGAACCTCGGACTGCGGACTCCCTCTTTTTGAGGGTAGGTAGTCCGTTGGACTCCCGTGTTCAAAAGTTAATTTCTACCCCTGTATTAATTCATTTAAATTAGTGATTATTTCAATATTATATTAGAATTGGTTGGATTACTTAACACAATTACCAGCAGTAACAGGGTTTACAATATGCTACTAGGATAGCAAACTTTCCATGTGCTGTATAAGCATATCACACACTCGTACAGAGTTGTCGTAGAGGGTGCGTTGCTATATTCATGACATATTGTGTTTAAAGTTATATGTTGAAAATAGTTCAGTGTAAATATAGTATTGCCAGTGTAAACATGTATGTTAGTAATTAACAGTATAACACCACAGCTGGCCTGACCCACTCTGCAGTGGAACTCTTACTGATATGTCTGTGCACTCTACATGTACATTGTTTGTTCCAGTTGGTAAACCTTCCAGCAAAAAATACTGCAAGCCAGATACTGGATGCTTATGTACGGTACAAGTCAATAAAGGATAAAACTTCAAACAAGTAAGTCGGGATCTTTACTAAGAATTGACTGGCTGCGTAGCAAAGTGTGTGTGATATCGGTGTGTTGTAAATATGTGTTTTTGCATGATATCTACTTTAATATGGGTGTAATGTGTCATGCCTAGTAGTACATAGGCAACAGTAACTTCACAACTAATACATTGATTACCATTAAAAATAATGCATTCTGGCTTGATTTATATCAGAAATAGTCACGAAAATATTTCAACAACAACGCGTTGACGATAAATATCCGTAAAAACTACAAAACAACGATGATGATTGCAACAACAGGGGAATCCTGTCGGGCGGTTGCCAGTCCCCTCCCCCATTATGTAACTCCCCCCCCCCCTAGACGGATGTGTATGGCACAAATGCACAGATAAACACACACCCTCGCAGCTAGCAAAGCCTTGTCGAATTCGGATACCTGTCTCGAATCTCAACAATGACGATTGCAACAACTAAGGGAATCCTGTCGGGTGTTTGGCAGTTCCCCCCCCCCCCACCCAGGCGGACACGTATAGCACAGATACACGGATAAACACGTGAATCGCCCTCGCAGCTAGCAAGTCCTCGCCGATACATCGTGACAACAAAGGGAATCTCATAGGGTGGATGCCAGTCCCCCCAACACGTATAGCACAGGTGCGCACGGATAAACGCACGCGGATCGTCTTTGCAGCAACAGCTAGCAAGTCCTCGTCGAATTCGGATACCTGTCTCTAATCTCAACGGGGTGGAGATTGCAACAACAGGGAAAATCTGCTGGGTGGTTGCCAGTCCCCCCTCCTCCCAACAAATAACTCCTCCCTAGACGACGGACATGTATAGCACAGGTGTGCGGATAAACGCACGCAGATCATCCTCACAAATAGCAAGTCCTCGTCGAATTCGGATACCTGTCTCGTATCTCGGCCCTGAACTGCACGTAGAGCCGGCGATTGCAACAGCAGGGGAATCCTTGTTGGGCGGTTGCCAGTTCCCTCCCTCCAGATGGACGCATACAGACGCGCGGATAAACGCTCGTGAATCATCGCCCGACATCCTCGCAGCTAGCAAATCTTTGTCGAGTTAGGATACCTCTCCCGGATCTCGGCCCTGAACTGCGCGTAGAGCCGGCGATTTCGCACGTAGTCGTCGTCGTCGTCGTCGTGGCGCAGCGTCTTGAAGCCCTTGTGCAGCAGGAAGGCGTCTGCGAGCACCGACATCTCGTAGCCGGCCGCGTGAAGCTCGCACAGCAGGCTCACGCGGTTGTAGCCGTACGCGCGGAAGCGCTCATCGTATGCCGCAGCCGTCGTCGCATCGACGACGAAGAATGGCTCGTACGGATGCCGCCACGCGACGTCGTGCAACACGCCCGCCGCGGCGTCGGACGCGTGCAGCCACGCGGCGTTGTCTGTCCGCGACTGGCACTCGGGGCACGGCTCTGCGTAGAAGGGTCTCGCGTCGCCCGCGGCGACGAGCGCGCGGAGTTCCCGCTTCGTCGCGGCGAGCGACGCCCCCGCGCGCGCCTCGAACACCGGCACGACGTAGAGGGCGCCGGCGCGCGGGTGCGGCGCGGCAAGGCGGGAGAACGCACCGCGAAGCCCCACGCTCGGCAGCAGGTCGATGTCGACGACGAGCACGTGGCGCGCCCTGGCGGCAACGCCGCGGCGCGCGACGTTGCGCAGGAGATTCGCGGGGTACGCCACGACCCCGCCGGCGTAGTTCGCACGCGAAGCAGCGTCGCCCTGCAGCAATCGCTCGCACGGCAGCTCGGCAACGGCGGTTGCCATGGCGACTGGCGGGGACGTGCCGACGGGGAAGACGAGGTGGAAGCTGACATTGCTTCGGACGTCGGGGAAGCAGCGGCGCATCGCGACGACGGCGTCGACGGCCGCGCGCACGTCGCCGGTGTCGCGAGCGAACGCGGCGACCGACGCGGGACCCGCCCAGCGGCGCGCGAGTGCGGGGAGGTGGTGCAGCTTGTCTACGGAGGCCTGCGTGACGAGGGTCACTCCGTCGTCGTCGCCGGCATCATCGGCCAGCGCGAGGCCGGCGACTATGAAGAAGGTGCCGCTAGCGTCGACGACTGTCGCGCGTGCGAGACGCCGGACCATGTCTGCGCGCGGGCTGCCCGGCGACGTTACGTTGCAGCACTCGCCCTCTGGTGGCGACCCTGGAAAGGGAAGGAACTGTGCGTAAAATTGAACTATTACAGTATTAGCAAATATATCTTTAAAAACCTTTATATAGGTATGTGTACAGTGTTTCCCCTGGCCAAAAAGGTCTGTGAGGTGGTAAATGTTTTTTGTGATGTGTTTGTGCGTTTCGAGGTCCTAGCAAAGCAAGCAGCGCAGGTGCTGGCCAAGCTAGGTGGGGTCCGGGGGTTTTGCCGCTTCTCGGGAAATTTTTGAAAAAATTGTGCAATTTGGTGCATTCTAAGCTATTCTGAACACATTGTATGAGACCCTTGAATCTCTTTTTCAAGTTGTCAAAAGTTTCGTCAGCGAGGCGGTGTTTTGGACAAATTTCTGTGTGGCGGCTGAGAATTTGAGCAAGGTGGCGTGCCTCGCTCGTGTGCAGGAGAAACTGTGTGTAGATATCAAGATCTTTGTGTATGCCAGTCACCAGCTGTCCAAGTATTAATGCTAAAGATTATAGTTTGCTGTGAAAAATTGGCACACAGGACTAAACTCAAATGATTGACACTGGCGGCGGCCCATCATTTCAGTCACACATTAATATCACCTGCCACGTATACATCTCGGGGCAGAGGATGTCTACATCTGTCATTATTCACCCCTGATCTCGGTAAGCACGGAAGGCATTCATTAGGAAAGATTGACAATGCATGCTCTACTTATAATCATTACTTGTATAATAAGTATATAATATAATTATATATATATATAATAAGTACTTGATCAAACTAGTCCGTCTCACTTTCTATAAAGCTAACGAGCTCGGCCTTACCCAGGGATCGTTCTCTGTTCGCGCGCTCGCTGTCCACTCTGTCCACGGCACTGAGTAGCAGCACGTGTAGCAGCTGTAGAAGCAGAATGAGCAATCCGAGACAGACAACAGTTTTCATCCAGGTCACCCGCATCAGTGTGCTTACACTGCATGCCGTCATGGCCGCCTTGCCGGCTCTAGCGGGGCTAGGGCACCCACGTGCGCTCTGCGAAGGAAATTAAAGATCATCCTGCAAAATACATGTCAAGATAAAAAAAAATACCGTTAGAATGTTATACACTCCATCAAGGGTTAATAATGAAAAATTTGTCGTTATTAACCGCTGGCGATATATAGACTCATTAGTAGCCTATAGCGAGTTTAGCGGTAATAGTTTGCAAATTACGTGGGGAGGAATTTATATAACCCACATTATTGTAATGCAGGGTATTACCAGACTACTAGCCACAAGTTACCTTCTCACCTTTCACTACGTGGCAACTCACTTAGAACTACGCCGTGTAACAGTCGTAGAGCCTGGTCGGGCAACTGAACTACTATATTGTGTGGTCTTATACATGGGTCCAAGCTTACCTCAGCTTTTAGGAACCCCGTATAACAGTATACACATGGCAGGCTTACTGTTAGATTAGTGTTGGAGTTTGGTTTAGTGATATCCCTTTTTAGGGGGTTCTGCCGGGAGCTGTTTTCAAACCCCCACGTCAAAAGTAAAACTGTTTCAAAATGTAAACGAAAGTCTAAGAAATAACTACGAATTATGTACAGAACTTGTAGTTGGATTGGGCCTAATTCGGCCTGCACTGGGACCGTGTAGCTGGAGCGGATGGGCTACACGGGTAGAGTTAGGTCAACCCTGTACTGTAGCCTTTAGTCTGTACTGTCTGTAGGTTCACAAGCTCTTATACTCTTCTTGAAACTTGAGCGTCCAAGGGCCTGCTGTGGTAGGTTACAAAACTGTGCATCGTGACAACCGCGATAACGGGGTAACCGTAATGCCTAATGGTGTCCTTTTTGTAGGTCGTACAAACTTATATGCGTGCAATTTAACTTGATTCAAAACTCACCCATAAATACTGAGAATACTCTGCTATCTTGTTGATTGAGCAACATTGAGTTCGTCTGCGCACATCAGTTGAATTTTAACCTAGTCAGTGTAATGACACCTCTTCCCTGCTGTTCAATTTGATTTTTGTTGTGGCACTGTGGCGATAGATGTGCACACGTCGGCATAGCTTACGCGTTGAGACGGGTTCGTAGCTGTTAGTGTCAGTCTATAGACTAGAAATGATCTGTGCTACGATTGGCTTAAGTTTGTCAGCTATATTTAGCGCTCAGACCAGACGTAATCAATTAACAAATTGTCTCAGCATCCCAGCGAATGATACACATATGGATGCTTGCATGTTCCATAAAAGAAGAAATATAATAGCAAATAGAATAAAAGAGCGATATCAATATATCAATTACCACACTAACATGTGCAACGTTCCGATTTATTTTGTAGTAATAATTTATTTGTGTCTTCTGATCACTGATAAATGGTGGGCTATGCACTAGGAGTGTTCCTAAGTTTGATATCATTAATGATTAATGATTGATAATCCTAACCCTAACCCTAACCTAACCTAACCTAGTTGGGAACACTCCTAATGGAGTATCACCCAAAGATGACAAGTATGGGATTCTGACAAATATTTTTATTTTGTATTCTAGAGAGGCACTTACTGAAGTTACCCGAGGAATTAAGGACTACTTCAATGTTGTACTTGGAAAGCAATTGCTGTACAAATTTGAACGGCCTCAATATGCAGAGGTAATTATATATGTGTTACTTGTCATTATCATAACTACTTTATTGAGTGCAATTCCCTCTTTTCTTCGTTTATCAATTGTATTTAAAAACCTTGTTAATGGCTGGAAGAATACACTATGCCTATATGTTTAAACATATAATTATTTGCCAAAATTGTGTACATTCTATACAATATCTTGACCATATAGATGGTAGTTTATGCCATAGGGATGGTCGATTTAATCCTACAGTCACATATATATAAAGAAATCAATGTGTCGTTCCAGCAATATGCGCAGTTATTTTTTTATTAATATGAACTCACGCGAATTTTTATATGTATGTTTCAATTTAATTTCGATGAGTGTAGTCGGTCAACTAGTTTCTAGTGTTCATCACCTAGTTTTCACAGTTTAGGTTACAGCATTCGTGTAAATAGTTTGTGATAGATGGAGCTACTATATAAGATATCGAGAGCTAATAATACCTAGCTATAATAGCTAAAGAGGTATTAATAGCTCTTGAAGATATATATACTAAATGCTAAGGCACTCCAGTGGTTTGCTATGAAGTTAGTAAAATATAAAGTCAAATGTTTTTAATGTGTCTTTTTATCATTTAGACACACTCTAATTCTCATATGTTAAATCAAATAATTTACAACCTACAACCCACCTACCTACAAGTGTAAAAGCATGTATAATATCTGCACAGAAGAATTTATTCATGTACTTTATTAACGTGTTGTCGTTATGATTGTTGCATAGATACTGGCAAAGTACCCTGACACACCGATGAGTGATATTTATGGGGCAGAGCACCTGTCTCGATTATTTGGTATGTATAAGATTCCGTTCCTTTCCTTAACCCCCATAACTACATTAACAATCTCCTCCCCTCCTCTCCGTCATACCACTTCTTCCCTTCTTGCCTAAGTTAGCATCCTGGTGCTCCTTCTACCACCCCCTGTGTCACCTCCCACTGCTCCTGACCCATTCCCCTATCCACCATACTCCTTTCACTCTTTTTCTTCCACTTCCTCTTCTGCTCAGTCCCTGTCTTTCTTCCTACCCTTTCTCCACACTCTGCTACTTCCACCCTCTCCACGTTCTTCCTCTCTCCTTTTTCACCTTCTCCCTACCCCAATAACTCCTTCCTCCAACCTCTCCATACAGTCCATCCCTTCTCCATCTTCTCTCATCCTCACCAGACCAGCTGCACTATACAGGAGGGTAAACGGTTCCACCCCTCCCGTGTATACATACGAATATAATTTGCATCTCACCAGTAGATAATCGAATCGATAATCGATGCATCTCTCCATAATAGAAACCTACCCACGCGCCTTCTACAAGCACCTCGCGCTTTATATTACATATAAGTGTATGGTAGTATATAAGTAAATAGCTCTTGTGGCGGTGAGGCCGCTATAAGCGCTATCTATCGTGGGGTGGTCGGCTGCCCCAGAGATTAATCTGAGTGTGTGCGTCTATGATTGCAGTGAACCTGGGCGGCTACCTCGCGTACACGGGCCTGGACGAGAAGGCGGTGGAGCTGCTGCTCACCCACATCCATGACTTCCTCGGCTACACGACGCGCAACGTCTCCTCCCTCTACGATCTCAACGCATACGTCGTCGCGTCGCCAGAGTACCAGCGGAAGGCGCTGTGACGTGTCGAGAGGGAGGGGAGGGGAGAAGCAGGAGGAGAAGGTGGGGTGTAACAGCTACTTGATACTGCAGGAGGAGGAGGAGAACGCCTACGTCGTCGCTTTACCCGAGTAGCAGAGGAAGGCCCTGTGAAGAAGAAGGAGGGGAAGAGGAGGAGGAAACTGAAGGGGGTGTACCAGCTACTTGAGACTACAGGAGGAGAAAGAGGGGAGGCTGTAAGAGCGCCTAAAGGGAAAGTACCTGCAGGAGTATTATTGAGGGAAGGGGGGGTGCTATGATGGATACTTCATACTGCAGGGGGAGGAGAGGGAGGAACAGGAGGAGAAGGAGAAGGAGGGTATAATAGCAGTTTGATACTGCAGGAGGAGGAGGAGGAGGAGGAGAGGCTGTAACAGCTTCTGTGACCGAGGAAGGCCCTGCGAAGTGTCGCGAGCACGCGAGAAGGGGAGGGGAGGGTAGCTAGAGGGCAGCTCAAGGGCAGCAATCGATCAGAGAGTAGGGCTTTAGTGCCCTGCTGCACCTGCAGGAGTAGTGGTGGGGGCGGGAGGCTATGACAGATACTTGATACCGCAGGGGGAGGAGGGGGAGGAGAAAGGGGTGTAACAGCTACTTGGTACTGTAGGAGGAGGAGAAAAGCAGGAGAAGGAGAAAGGGGTGTAACAGCTATTTGATACTACATGCGAAGGAAAACGGGCGGCTGTAAAAGCTTCTTACTACTACAGGAGGTAGATAAGGAAGAGGAGGAGGAGGGCGGCAATATCTGCCTAGTCTTGAAAAAGAAACATTGTGCGACAACGTCCCAATGTTGTAGCAGGGGGCTGTCAGAGTTTAATTCCTCCCCCATCCGTTTCACAAGGAGGCTTGCTATCTTCAAATTTTCAAGGGTAACTCGTTCACATCTGCCACTCCTCGCGTTGCGGAAAGTGAGTTACGATAACCCGTATCAGCCATCTAACTGATAACACTGGCTGCAGTGATCGAGTTTACCGCTGTATCAGTTGTTGCTAGTGCTGGGATGGGAGTGCCAGGAAATCGCGGCAATGCCTGCCGTCCTAGTGATGGTGATGTGAGTGGGTAGTGTAAACTGCACGCGGTTGGCTGCCGGTCGCACTTGTGTGTGCTCTCCCTTCAAATCGGCAACAGCAGCTGGGCCTGACGGAATGCACGCGTGCATCTATCTAAGGCAAACGCAGTCATGTTCCTGGAATGCGCGCTAGCTAACGCGGGAGTAGCGCCAGGCGGGTTTCGTGTGTGTGTGTGTGCGCGTGCGTGCGTGCGTGCGTGCGTGTATGTGTGCGTGCGTGCGTGCGTGCGTGCGTGTGTGTGTGTGTGTGTGTCCTCGTATTTATGCGCACGTTTCCACATGGACGCTGCGTCTTATAGCCTAATGGCAAGGAATTTGTAGCGCAGCATGTTTTTGGGTATACGTGATCTCATGGAGACGTCAGTGTTGGCGGCAGTATGCGCATCACGTGTTACGCTGTGTATCAGTGCGATGGTCGCAGCGCGCGCGCGGTCTTCTTTGATTAATAATGTTAAGTTCCATTACATGTTGGGCGATTTTGATGTGAATTATAAAATTCAATCATGAAAACCAATTTCAGTGTCAGATATGCGGGCGACTAATGCTCTAATGAGCCACGCAGCACATAAAGAAAGATGCAATTAAAACTATTTACCTAATGTATTTGCAACTTCGCGTCCTGTTTACCAGCGAGTGCTAGATCTACACCAATGGCCGTCGTGTATACGTGTTTTGCTATTTTTCTGCCGAATTAAACCTGAAGTGTATCTATTTACCAACGTATAGCGTTAGTGTATCTTTTGCTGCTAAGCGTGGGTGTATCGATATGCAGTGACAATATAGTGCGAACATAGAAATAATATACTAGGTCGACTCTACATATTTAGGTGTCTCTATATTCTATAAGTGTGAACATGAAATGTCATTTCCTGGCGGACGACATCCTATGGAGCCGATCAACGGTCAGAGGAAGGGATGCAGAGTCGTTTCCCTGAATGCGGGAACGCGTGCTACACAGGCCAGCTAGCTAGGCTACAGTGCTGATTCAAGCTCTAGGAAGGGATCGAGAGAAAGAGAAGAGAGAGAGAGAGAGAGAGAGAGAGAGAGACGTGACGGACGGACGGACGAACGGAAACGACGGACGGACGCGACGGACGACGGACACGGACGGACGGACGGAACGAGCGACGGACGGACGGGGGGACGGACAACGGACGGACCGACGGACGACGGACGACGACGACGACGGACGACGGAGGACGGACGGACGGACGGACGCGCGACGGACGAGGGAACGGACGGACGGACGGAGGGACGGAGGGAGGGGAGGGAGGGAGGAGGGGAGGAAGAGAGAGAGAGAGAGAGAGGAGAAAGAGAGACGGAGAGAGAGGGAAGGGCGAGAGAGAGAGAGAGAGAAGAGAGAGAGAGAGAGGAGAGGAAGAGGCGAGGGAGAGAGCAGAGGAGAGAGAGAGAGAGAGAGAGAGAGAGAGAGAGAGAGAGAGAAGGGCGAGAGCCAGTGAGTGAGCGAAAAAGAGAAAGAGAGAACCAGTGAGTGAGGGAGAGAGAACCAGTGAGTGAGAGACGGAAGGAGAGAGAGAGAGAGAGATGTAAATGTGGGAGAGCACGCGCGCGCGAAAGATATATAGCAGGATAGAGAAGGAGGAAGGCGAGGGGAGAGCAAGCGCGCGTGAGAGAGAGATAGAGAGGGAGGGAGAGAGATGGAAGATAGAAGGTCTAGATCCCAGGCACCATGAATATTACATGTAGTCCGTGATCGCGAGGGAGGGATAAGAAAACCAGGCACCACCGTGTCAGTGAAGATAGCAAACAAGGAACAGCGGTGTGGTAGGGTTAGTGAGTGCAAGAAAACATGGCAGCCAGCTGGAGAGGAAGGGGTTAATGATGACGTGGAACAAGGATGTTGGGGGAGGTTTACCCCACGAGGGCTCGAAAGTATAACACCGGTGCACCTGAGGATGTCAGAACATTAAATTAATTTAATAAATTTAATTAATTAATGTGACGTTATCAATTTACTGTGTAACACCACGTCATGTATAGGACAGGCTTTATATAATTGATATGTATATGCGACGTGGAACATTTTTGTTGGTAATTTTCATTTCACTGTAGAACTATTATATATGGTGATGTAGTGCAGAATTGTGATTTGGATCGCATCTAAATGTATTGTTGTTGAAGTAATGCATTGCAATGTCCTAAATTTTATATCAATGCTAAATATTCTACTACATTTTCACTAACATATCGGGAACATATCCAACAAACAACTGGTGTACAGTAATACAGGTGTAGTATTTCGTATTACTACTGTTGCCTACAGGTTTGTGTGAATACTGATCATTTTAAGCTGCTAGACATTTGCATATACTGTACTTATTATGCCCACACTATCTACTACCGCCATAGTTTTATCGTACAAGCTAGCTTTGTGAACGCATTTGTTTCTGCCCCTTATTTTATACGTTAACCCCACGTTATTAAGATCTACGTGCACTGTATTATTGTCGGAATAGAAGAAGACAAGAAAAGACAAGGTAAAACTAGTAAATACCACATTATGATGAATAAAATTGATTTTTTTGGTGGATAAAAACAGGCAAATATCTTGGTACATGTACTGCGGATGTATACCAGGGTTGCTGGTAAAACAGCTGCCGGTACAAATGGTAGAAAATATTCCGTTTGTCTAAAAACAAGAACTAACTCCCAAATTAAATGCTTCGGTGAATTTTGCATTTAAATGCCAAGATATATAGCTGTGTGATGTATATTTGATTGGGGTACTCGTCTTTTTTTACACAAATACACATACTCAAACAAAATCTAAAAACTTGCACAAGGGTTGGCCTTCCTTTACGATAATACACGATGAGAAATAATCACTAATACACTTCGTAGCTCCTTCATGTTTACATTCGTGTTTAAATGTATGAAAAAAAACAAATATTTATTTATCAGCCATAAAAGCTATAATTTATCGTCATTAAAACGCTGCCACTGATCATGATGTGCTAATAGCTCACGCATTGCACCAGGTTGCAAAAAAACTATACAGTCTCTAAGTGTGTGTGTGTTGTTGTTGTTGTTGTTGATTATCTCCCCAATCAGCTCGCACCTTGCTGGACACATGATTCTGGCACGTTGCCCCTTCGCTCGATAAATTTTCAGCAATACATACAACTCGGGCAAATTAACTGAGGGTACTTGGCCAACAGATATTTTGGGTCCCCGGATGGCGGTGGCGGCCCTGCGCGCGCGCGCCGCCGCCGCCACTGGCCCCCCGCCTCCCCGCGTGTGCGCTCGCACACTCGCCGAGGGCCGGTGTGAGTAACGGCGGCGGCCGCGCGCGGGCGCCAGAAGGGCGCGGCCCAAACGTTTACGGCTACAGTATCCGCATCCACGGGGTAACTGAAGTTAAGCACCTAATAACGCTACGCAGGACACACCAGACAGAAAGAGAGAGAGCCGGCCGCGCGTAAAAACACAGCGAGAGTGACAGAGAGAGAAAGCGGAGGAAGTCGCTGGATGTGACAGGAGCGGCTGCAGCAGCCAAAAGAAGCCGGCAGCAGCAGTGGCCAAGGGAGGAGTCGAATGATGAATGTGTCGCACGCGCCGATAGCGCGTCGTCTAGTAGCCAGAGAGCTCCTGGAAGGTGAGGTCCAGCTCCTCGCTGATGGCCTTGTACTTCTCCCTCTCGTGCACGAGCTCGTCTGCAAAAACAAGAGAGCGTGTGTCAAGCAAGATGGCCGCCGCCGCGACGGATACGCCGTTTCGCAATGGATCGGTGTTAATTCATGCACGGGATATGTCGGGACGCGTTAATGAACGCATGGATATCACGTCTCTACGCGACATAATGTTAGTTGTTAGCGCGTAAGATGTCAGTGACCCACTATGGCCATCAGGGAATTGCATTTTGATTATGATTACCACTGCAAAGCCTGGTGTGTGACCGCCATCTGCTACCAGCTAAACTGTTACTGCTTAGAGCCAGAGTCGGGCAGGAAACTGAGACGCTGTCCCTGTAGTTTGGTGGCCCCATTAACAGTAAACACTGGGATTGATACCATCAGTCCAATAGTAATCACCCCCCCCCTCCCTGTGCAAATGTCAGCTGGCACTTGAGTTGGATTCGCACTGTTGCATATCTTGAGCAATGACTGTCTGAGAGCAAGACGGCAAAAATTTTGTGGGGGGATTTTTCCGGGGGTTCGATGTGTGTGTGTGTGTGGGGGGGCGTCCGTGCGTGTGTGTGTGTGTGTGTGTGCGCTGCGTGCGTCGCTGCGCGCGGTGTACGTGCGGGGGTTGTGTGTGTGCGTGAGCGCGCGTGTGTGCGCGGCCGTCTTGTGTGATGTGTTGTGTGCGTGCGGTGCGTGCACGCTGCGCGCGGTGTACGTTGCGTGTCGTGTGGAATTGTTGCGTCGAGGCCGGATGAGGCGCGGCCACCGCACCGCGCGCTCTACGGCGCCTGGCGCGGCCCTGCACCCCAATCTGCCGGCGCTGTGTGTGCGAGAGCGCGCATGTGTGCGTGTGGGATGGTACTACCCTTCGTGTGTCTGCCTGACATCCCACGCTGTTTAACATTCAGGAAATTAACAGGAAGGCGTTTGCTGGCAACAAGACAGCATACATCCTGGGAAACAACTGTAATAACAGCCTATTTCCACAGAATAACACAGCACACTACGGGGAGATATATATATATTATTAATTATCATGCGCCTAACCAGTATCTAAGTATCAAAATAATCTAGCTGGTTAGTGTGAAGAAAATGCTGTTATACAACTGCTATGACTGTAGTTAGCCCTCACTGTCACAAAATGCCACACACATCAGTGTTATCATTTTGCCTTCTGTACCGACAGGAAGTTAATGCAGTGGTAATAAGCAACGTACAGCCAATCTCTGCAGCTATGCTGGTACCGCGTAAGGTAGTACACCAGCACAGCAGCAGCAACTGCCCCCCTCAAGACGCCTCCACCTCAACAACAAAACCAAAGGTGACAGCATCTATCCGGTGGCAAGTTACAACATTCCAGATAACTAACTAATAGGTCAGATCAGTTATAAGTTATAAGGGTAATAAATTCATTAGATTTCGTGACGACGTTATGAGTAAATTCATTTCAAGATGAATCGAAATACAATCGCCTGCCAACAACAGTTTTATGACTCTTCCAAGCTGAACGAAGTCCCGCAGGCTTGTCACATAGTGCTCCAGTTTGTGAGAAGCCCGCTCAACTTCACTCAGCTTGACAAAGACCGCCGGACCGGCTGTCGTTAATGGCTCAATATATATTTCGATGCATCTCGCAATAAATGTACATGTAAGTGGTGCTTAGTAGCATGCACGGTTATTAGTAGGCATGCAAACCTTGTTTAGCTATTGACAATATCTTGCAGCGTGGCCTCCATCTCGGCACTAATCGCCTTGTACTTCTCTCTCTCGGACAGTAACTCATCTGCGTAAACACACACACAAGTCACATGCACACTTCAAACAACAACGAGCTGTTAATCGTAGACGCTAAAAAAACGCATCCGGTAAACCGTTGCAATCGGAGGTGGGCGGGACCACAGGCACTTGAAGCGTTTCAACTGTAAACACACGCCGCCGCCATTGCGCGCACACTGACACATAAATATATATAT